GCGCGGGGTTGCCAGTCAGGGATCAAGCCCCCGTGCTTATTCCTGTTGTTGCATGGAGCCCGTGCATTATGCAGTTGAGCGTTTCACACCCCTGTCCACCGGTACATTGGTTCACCGCTAATTTTCTATGGGAAGCCGTGTTCCTAAAAAACGACAGATTGCGGAGAAAACGACAGATTGCGGAGAAAACGACAGATTGCTGTGCCGCGCTGATTCCCCGGAGGGCTGACTCAGCGCGGGTGTTTTTAACCCGCGCAAATATACGCGTAAAATCGCGGTCCAAAGGACCAGGCAACAGCCGACCGAGTGGAAGCTAGTTGATTAATCTGCGGGTACTTTAATATGCAGTCGCATTTACGGTGAGCGGTTGACGCAAGTCGCCGTTTACGCCAGCACCCCTGCCTCGTCACCTTTTGGCCACCGTTAACTGCCCGACAGCGACATCCAGTGGTCGCGAGGGCTAATCCCACTGAAACTAAATTTAATACGTTATAGATCCAGAGCACTCCAGTTTGCCATACGGAGCTGCCACCATCTAACACATTAGCTATGCAACATTCTTTCACATTCTTAGGCTTTCTATTTGCCACGTTTTGGGTATATAAGTAAGGGCAGGCAGTAGGTGGTGGGCGGGGAGATAGTAAAGTCGTTATTCGAGAAGTTTCGTGACGGCCACGTGCTAGTCTCAGCGGCCAGTTGCAGTGGCATCCGCCCTCGGCCGTCCTTCGCTTTATCGGCGCGCACTTAGGTCTAGCCCCAGGCGATAAATTCTGTCCGTCTGTTAGTCTGTCATTTACTATTTGCCTTTATAAGTTCTTGTCACATTAGGCATACGTTTATCGTACATAAAGTCGTAGCACCTGAGACGTGGTTATTCCGAAAACGTTTTTCCACGAACACGTGCGAGCGCGTGCTGCGACGCCAGTCGATCCGGGTGTTCCTCCGAAAGCGTTCTCCTTTTAACAGCCACGACGTGCTCCAACAAACCGACGGCCTTTTTGACCTGCCCGTCGGCCTGGTATGCCGCGGCGATTTCGTGCTGCGACGCCAGTCGAGAAGGGTGTTTTTCCGAGAGCGTTCTCCCTCTGACAGCCACGACGTGCTCCAACAAACCGACCGCCTCCCGGATCCGTCCGTCCATTTGTAGACACCGCCCTGCCCAAAATCTTAACCGATTCATTGCTTCGCTTTCACCTCCCCTTGCCGCTCCATCCGCCTGAAGCATTTTGAGCGCATGCGGCATATACTGCCTCCATCGCTCGCGATTTTCCCACTTATCGCTGGGGACAACTGCCGCCAGCTGCGCCAAAGCGTCTTCCATTGTCTTCTCCGTATCTCCTTTCCCCTTAACCCATTCCCGTGTCGCCAAGTGCACCAAACTGTGCATGTCGAATATGCCGCCATCCCCTCGCTTACCCAGGAACGCATACCCGCAAAGCAGCCCAATCGCCCCCGTTATTCGCTGCTCTGTCCCTACACTGGGCAGCATCGACCGCGGTATGGCCTTGGGCTCGACACATGCCGCGAATGTGGGCAGCTTCGCCGCGTCCGCATTGATTTTGTGGATCTGCTCGAACGAAATGATCCATGTCGTCACCACCACGTTCTGCGTTTCCTTATACCGTGTGTTATCTGTGAATTCTGCGGCTAGTAGCTCGATTTTGTCCTGATCCGTGTTGTGGAAAATTCCAAGGTATTCCGCAATCGATACCTGGTTCTCGTTCATGTAAGCGGCCGCCTGGGTGATTGCCAGCGGCAAATGGGCGAGCTTTTCCAGGAATTCGTTAATAATGTTTTTCGGCGGTAGACTTGTTTTAATCAATGACTTTTCCAAGAATTCTCGTGCTTCGCCGCGACTCATTTCTGATAGGTCGACGATGTTGTTCCCGGCAACACTGGTGGCTACCTTTCGAGACCGAGTCGTAAACAGGATCCGGCTACCGCTGCTTTGCGGTAGGTAGTCGTTTATTCCGCCCCCATTGTCTTGCCCGAACAAAGTATCCCAGTCGTCGGCGTTATCAACGATTAGCAGCCATTTTCCTGCCGTCGCCGAGCTGAAATGGCGGCGGAATGTATCTTTGGCACTTTTACCCTCGCCGAGTGGAACGCGGAGCTTCCCGATTATACCGACGCACGCCTGCTCGAAGCTTGCTATGCTTAGAGCCGGCACCCAGAAGACGGACCACCCTAACTTGTTTTTCCTGCGTCAAATAGGCGAGCTGCAATGCCACCTGTGTCTTGCCGATGTCCCCGAGCCCGACGAGGGCGACGCGTCGAGGGCCATCCTCGCTAAACAGCTTCTTCTTGAGCCTGCCGAGGGTTTCCGCCCGTTCCACAAAATATCTGTTTTTTGAAAGCGGGATAACTATAATAATTGGTGTCGACTTCTTTTTGTTATATTAGTTGCTGTGCGTTACCAAAGGGTAGCGTTTATACTAACGAGGTACTCCTCCCGGACCGGCCGGACCGGCCACCGAAGCTTTCCCCCGCCCGAGGAACTCGTCCACGAATTTGCCGAGCAGTCTTTCAGAGTCGCGGATGTAGTTCAATGTGTGCGCCGAGATCTTGCTTGCCTTCCTCCAGTCCGATAGCGTCGTGTCCTCGAGGCCCCGCTCCACGTTGAATCGAAAGTACTGGCCGTTAACCCCGAACCGCCTGTCAAGCCGGCCCGCCACCTGCTTCGACGTCGTTGCCATCTTTTTTAGAGCGTTAATGATAGCGAGTTTAGAATCGCGAATGCTGACAATATCCCCAAGCCCCGTGCCGATACTAAGAATTTGCATCCGCTTACGCCCGGGGAACCGCCGCCGCGCCTTTTCGATAAGCACCTTGCACGGGTTGTTATTTCCGAAGGCGGCATCGATGAACTTAATCTCGTCCCGGCCGACCCGGATCGGCTTGAAGAAGGTTGTCGCCGCCGATGTCGCCCGCGCCACCTGCCAGATGGTGCAGCCGCTTAAGCTGATTGAGGTGTCGTACGTCGTGAATAGGGTCGGTCGCGCGTCGATATTGTCCTTGGTGATGGCCAGTACGACCCTGTGGGCGTTAGCTATACGCGTGTTTGCAGAAGCACCGTTCCTAGAACGTACGTATCAGTGCACGACGTGTCACGTAGCTCCATCTCACTGTGTGTACATGTAGCGGCCATCGAGTGCCCCGCGCGGCGTCGTGTCGCACACTCTGGCGCCACGCAGTACTCCTTGATCGTATCCCGGATCGCCGCCTCGAGCGCCTTAGCGGAGAATGCGCCGCTGGGAGACGCTGGAAACAAGGTCGTTCTTTTCGGGGTGAATGCTCTTTCTGCCACCTTCCGATAGGCTCGGATGCATTCGTCGACGCTCATACCCAGCCGACCCAACATGATTGCGATGATGCTGCTTAAAAGTCAGAACGCGCTGATAATATGTTTAGCAAGGCGCCACATACCCTCCGGTGCTTGTGCCGCCGATCAGGTCGAATCGTTCATACGGCTTCGGGATTTCGCTGAGGCCTTCCGCTTTGCGGATGCCCTTCATAATGTGCTTTAGGATGAGCAGGCTGGAAAGGCCGCGGATACCACCTCCGTTTGGGGGTGTTAGCCGGGTATGGCGTCCCGCGGGAGGCTATGTTGGAAGGTTTTACCCAGGGAAAGGATGCGTAACGGACGTGGAGAGTTATGATCCATGCTTGCTCCGCAGTCGCGCGGCTCGGTCCGGCCCTAATGTGTTCGGTGCGCGCAAACTTTACGTCGGGTTTGAGAAGGCGGGGAAAAGACGAACAGGCAGATCAAATTTTGCTCCAAAATCAGTAGGGCAACGGACGCAATTAAGGACAGCTGCGGAATAAATGTCGAAACGCCAGGCAGGGAGCAATTGGTCGCCGCTGACCGCCAGCTGACCAATAAATGCAAGCCACATATCATACGTACTGTGTCTGCTAGTTCGTTGCGCCTAGCCACTTTCACAAACTGCGCAAAATGATTTGCGCAAAAAGGGCGAATTTGGTAGGTGGCGTGACATTGATCATCCCCCGGTTTGTCGTGAAGCCGAGCTCTCCAATGATTTCTAGGGCTGACGAAACTACTAATTATAGGGTGCGGAGCACCCATGTTCGCTGATGCCTGCCTTGAAACTAATATTTGAACGACGCAGCGATTCTGCGGTTGCAGTCCACGACGGCCGACGAGCCACTAACCAGGTTTGAAAGCCGTGGTTGCTCAGTAGAATGCCGGGACACGGCTGGCTGGCGGCCTTTACCCCGCCCCCGCCTTTTGTCGCAAGGCGAATGTCACAGACTGCAGAGGCGGGGATACGGCACAGGTGCCCCCGGCATGGCACAAATTGTTTGAAGCCAGACCAGGTGTCGCTAATAAACTCTATAGGAGTCGTCGGAAGACCCGATGGAAAGTTTATTAATCGGCACCAGAGTATAAAAGGACTGACCACTCCCGCAACAAGGGCTTAAAAGGGTCAGGACTCAGTAGCTCAATACCAGTGACGATACCTTGCTGACGATTGCTTGCCACTATTCCCGTTCCGTGCTATGCCCAATTGTGTGCGATTATTGTTGTACGAAAGAGGAATTGCCGCGTTTTCCTTTTGGAGCCGTTTTCCAAGCTCGGTATGCTAGTCGTGCCCTAAACCTCTCGGATGTGTATATCGGGCCCTCGGTCAATTGAGAATGGTGTCAGCTCTACAAGGTAGGCTCCCACTCAGACCCGGCAAAGGACGAGAACAATCAAGTTCGACAATATAACAAATAGCTCTGTATGTAGAGTCCGAGGATGGAACGGGCCGACACCTTGGTTATTTTTCCAAGTATGGTGAGGACCTGACGGATTTGCCGGGGCGCTCGCAGCCGTCGAGGTCGACCTCCGCATCGACGAGTCCCTCCCCTTCTCTACGGGGTTCAGTTACAGCGGCGCGATATGGCTCAGCATCGCCTGCTCGCGTGGGAAGGAGTTCCGCGGCGTGGCCATGAGCGGGCCCCTGAGCAGCTGTGTCGGGGGCGCGGACCCCGTGGCGTACTACGGCCATCATGACGTGTCGGACTAGGGGCAGTGTCAAGGCACGACAGTATGGCAATACCCCGCTATTTGTTACAGCACTTTCCAGCTCTTTCCAGCGCTTTCAACAGTTGTGGCCCCGCCCAACATCGCCATAGCGGCTTTCCTGTATATTGCTTTTGCATTGGATGGCGATTCCAATGATGTATAAATATGGTCAAAAGTCAAAAATTGATTGCGTGGCCGTTATATTAATTGATGGCGAAAATCATGGCTGGGAAAAAAATGGATGGCGGGAAGAGGGGGTGGCGGAAGGGGGGTCCTGACTTATGTTGAAGCAGCCCGTAATGGCTGCGAATTCGGCGAATTGATCCGCCTCCTGAAAGGCCGAGTAAAAGTAGTCCTTACGCTCGCGGGCGTTGGACCGATGTTCCAGTTCCCCGTGGCAGCCGACGCCGCTTAGCAGACACGGACGGGCTTCTAAGCATCGCGCCCGCGCCCGGAATAGCCCTGCAGGCCCGGGAGGCCGAGCCAGGCTACATGGTGGCTTCCAGGGCCCGCCGGCGCGGCGTCGCGGCGTCGCGGCCCAGACCCTGCTCCTGTTGGGCGTTCAACTACCGCGGTTTAGCTCGCGTGCACCGCAAGACCACTACCGATAGCTTAGATTCGTACGAGGCGGCCTTTCCTCGCCGATCGCGCTTGGCCTTCCAAGGAGGTAGAGAGACCGTCTCGTGGTCTTCCTTACAGTGGATCCGGTCTCGAGAAGGGACGTGTTCGTGTCGCCCTCACGCGTGATTGCTAGATGGCGCGTCGCGTGCCCCGCTTTTGGTTAGAACCGCTAATTGGCCAGCGCCACCCCCAGTTGGTGCGTGTATCCCTGTACTACCTCAACTTGGAGGTATATGGGTGGGCAGGTACTTTCCGAGGTTAAGTACCTGCGATTCGCCCGCTGCGGGTGCGGTTCGAGAGTGGCCTACACAATGCGCCTGTGCCCTTGGTTACGGTGCGCAACGAACGCTTTGGAGGTTGGTTGCTGGCGACTAGCCTCGCGGAGGAATGGGGCGAGAGAAACGGGGCCAAGCCAGTGGGGCTGCCACCACGGGGTGAAAGCATTTACAGCAAGCAATATCCGTGGGCACGTCTTACCCGCGCGAGGCTGGGTCTGCAAAAGCGTACAAGACAACCAGCCCGCCTTATAGTACAACTTCGAGGAGGAGGGGTACTTGGCATTCATCTGTCGAGGTAGTAGGCATTGTGCAGAGCGCCACGACCGCGAGGGTATAGTGTGCCAAAAATCGACATGTTTCGAAAAGTATAAATTGGTCGGGTTCGTCGTATACTTGTCCCGTCGGGTCGTCGAAGGCTTTCTCCAACACCAAGCAAAATTTCTCCTGATAACTGGAAGAACAGCACCCGCCCTGACGGACAACCTAAGGCTATTGTAAATCCTGCTATGGCTGAACACCGCCGTCGGTATTTAATGGGTAGCCACAGCAAATTCTGCCCATTCCAGGTGATCCATGCTTCGTCGGCACTGATGCCAATGCCCTCCAAATCTTGGTGCTGTGAATGGGCCTCAAGTGCTGTTGCACCAGCAGTCGGTTGCTTGCTAAGCAATTTAGCCCCAAAATCTGTATGGAGGTACGAGCCTGTTGCATCAAACGATACAGTAGGACTACACGGAGACCAATAACTAGCCTATCTCCGATGTTCGCATTCCGCCACCCCGGAGAACTATCTTAATATCTTTCTCGCAAGCCGGTCCATGCTCCGACAAAGCCTACCGGTGGATCTCGTTCGTCCAGGTCAGCATCTCCCTAACTCCGAACTCATCCGTGCAGTCGGCTCCGCACAGTCTCGTCGTTTTGCAACACTTCCACGCACCGCTTGGGCCGACGAGCGGCTGAAGAATCCAAAAGACGAACTTGGGCCCGACGAAGGTCAGAGCGTAGTGTCGGAGGGCAATCGTGTCTTCGGGCTTCCAGCCAGCCTTGGACACGCTCAAGGCCTCTTCTCGTAGGCGGTGGCGGTTGTAGAGGGCAATGGAGCCGGCGGCCACCACCTGGGCAACAGCGACGTCGTCGGACGGGCCGGGTCGTTTGAACTCGATGGTGAAGTAAGGACAGGTGATCCAGTCTTTGACGAAGGTGCAGTTCTGGATTTGAAAGCGATATCGCGGCTTGAATCCCTTCAAGGAGAGCCAGTAATTGCAGTCGGGGCGCACATCCCAGGACCAGTCTTCCGCCATTCGCTGGGCGGCGGCCGGGCCGGGATCGACGAGCGGAGGGACGCGCCAGTGGGCGTTCTCCCTCGGAGGGCAGACGAGCTGCAGCATGCGCTCGGCGCGCCATCGGCGGTCTTCGGATATGGCGGCGGATCTTCGTTCGCCGCGAAAGAAGGTGTCCTTAGCGAAGGTGGCAAACTCCTCCTCGCACAGGCCGAGGCCCCTCATCTCCTTGTATTCGGCGGCGATGGCGTCGATAGCAGCTTAATCCATCGACAGCCAGATGCTGGCGCCGGCATGTTTTCGACAATTTCCTCAATCGATTTGTTTCTCAATCTGTCTCCAAGTATATTCAACGACCCTATTTCTTTTCCAGAAGCGAAATGCAAGCGACTACTCCGCCACGCCCGGCGGAGAGCGTGCATCGTTCGAGAGCTAGAGTGTCCCGCTCGGTGACCAGGCCGCCAGCCCTTCCGCTGAGCGCCGCGAGTTTCAACATTAGCTAACAGCTCAAATCCCGAGTTGGCCATATAACTCCAATTTTACACCTACCTTACCTACCCAGGCGGGCGTGTATTGCTACTGGTGGCCTGTCCCCCCGCTGGCGACCCCAATGTGCCTACTGAGGGAAGCCTCTATACGTTGCCTATCTGCTCCTTGCTGCCCCCCATGGGTCCGCCCCTGCTGGTCGTGCCACACGGGCGACGTCGGCGTGATCTTTCTCAGCCCCTCCTCTGCCGCCCTGAGCCTGCCCTCGTCCGGAGCGGGCATGCCGCTGGCGCGCAGCAAAGCCGCCCTCATGAGAAGCTGCTGGTCAGCCAGTTCGGGCCAGTGCGTGGAGCCCTACCTCCATGTGCTCCTGTGGCCTTCAGTATTATACCTCTCGTAGCGGTCGCGGAAGATGTGGTGGTCCCTCATGGCATAGAACGGGTCCCACCTGTACCGATTGAGATCCGAGGCCAGAATGGGCAGTGGGTCCTGCCCCAGGGGCGATTTGAGGAAGGCCAAAAGGGCGCGTAATTGGTCGTCGGTCGGCGGGTATAGTGTGAATGGTCCCCCGCGACGGCCGTCGTGGAAATAAACAGCGTTGCACTGTGGGTTTGAGCGGCGGGTTAGCACCTGGACGTGGCATACACAAGCAAACGGAGGGCGAGGGCCTTACTTCGCTGTCGGACTTGCCCCGATCAAAAACCACGACGCCGCCGAAAATCATGCATTCTGCCCAATATCCAACAATGTCCGCTTCGCCGTCGGGGTACTGCTCGATAGCTATATAGCTGCGGTGGCTAAACGGGGTCTTTAGCAGGGGGACCGAGTAAAATCGCTAGCTGAGCATCTAGATTTGCATCTCGGACGCGAGCCAGTCACTGTGCACCTTGCGCTTGTGGAGGCCGTCGTCCATCTGGAACAAACGGACGGCAATGGAATGGCAGGCGACGGCCGTCATTTCGATGAGGCGCAAGTCGAACTCGGGGCTTCCGACCTTGGCGGCGTTGAACGCGCGCAGGAGCTGGCGCCGGAACTGCAGCTGGCGGCCGGCGTCGAACGCGTGCCCGAACTCCCTAATCTTCCCCAGGGCGGCTTCGCAAATTACGCTGTGGTTGAGTTCGTATATGGGGTGTGACCTTATGGGCGGCAGGAATGCTTCCCACGTTTGGATCGTCGGCAGCCCGTCGAATATTTGAGCGTATGCATTTTGCGCCACGGCTGTCACGAGGATACTGCCGATGGCGAGCTGGAAATGCGAGAAATGGTCGGCATCGAGGGCGCTGGCGGTAGTATCGGTGTCAAACTCGGGCATCGCGGATAATTGGTTTGGCAAGTGGTGGCGGTACTCGTCGAAGTCAGCCACATCTCCTGGGTGGCCTTTACTGGCTGGTATCTCGGGCAGCTGGTGTCCAATCCGCACAGTGAAATTCCAGAGGACTCTGCGGCAAGTTCCGAGTCTGCAGGCCGGGGCGCAAGCCATTCTTAAAGAGGATACGCTTTTTTTTCAACCAAAGCTTGCGGTTGCGGCCGACCAATTCCGGTCTGCCACGATTGCTGTCAGGTATGAGAGGGTATTTTCCAGGTTCCAGAGGCAACCGGATGTGGTCCGTGCATGTGTGCACATATCACCTACCGACGTGTATATCACCACGAGGATCTTCAGAGAGAGGACAGAAAGAGAAATGAGATGGAACGAGAGAAGGACTAGAGACAGTGTTCTCTGACAATTGCCTGCCAATACGTGCAGCTCGCGGGCGTCTCTAGCCTCTGTGTCTTGAAAACGGGTTGACAGTGGGGCCAAATTGACCAGGGGGGACGGACGCCGCCACCACCAAAATACAGCAAAAATCTGTCCGTTAAACTGGCGGTGTTATGGCGCGGCGTGCCCTCCGTGCACTTGCAGCTTTGTCTCTCGTGTGCGTTGGGGGTATGAGACCCCTATCACAATCAGGATGGCAGTCCTGATTGTCCTGGCTTTTTAGCAGAGGTGGGAGGGGTCTCCTTCTGTCTAACCGCCTTGACAGGCGGATTGCAACGTTTTGAACAGCAACGTCGACACCGTTATTTTTGGACGAATTTGAAGCTATTCCCAGATCGAGCCGGGCCGTGGCTATCTCGAGATGCCAGTGGGTAAGCGGTTGACCGCCGACGAAAAGGCGTGATATGCTTTGGGTAACCGGCATGAAGGTACCGCCGCCGTGTGGTTGTTAAGCCGGCAATACTCTTTCCAACAGCGAAAAGAGAGGCGTCGTAAAGTCGCCCATATTCACGATCTGATTGCTAACGTTGCCGGCGCCGTACCCGCGGCGGCCTCCTCCTCCTCCTCTTTCTAACGCTGGCATAAAGCTGCCACTACTTTGGGCAGCTTGGGCGGCTTCGCGCTAGTAGTCTTCTGCTTGAAGCCGGTTCCACGACTTTCTGACGATTGACGGAGGATCCTCCAAAACAGTTCGGCGGGCGACGTATTCTCTAGCCCAACGATTAATTAGCGCCGTCGTAAGCGGGTAATGAACCTCGCGGCCGCCGGACCGTGTGACGTAGCAAAGAACAGGTGCGTTACCACCGCGATAATTGCGACACTTTTCGGTTCGAGCTAGCATTTGGAGCGCCGTACTAACTCCATCACCGCCTGCGCTACAGGGTCCTGCTGCATCTGGCGATCGAATGCCGCTTGCATTTCCGTCGTCACCGTTTTTCGTAGGCGTTTAAGCGCCTCGTTAGATGCCGGCGGAGGAGGAGGGCCAAAAGTCGTTAGGTGGTGCCCGAATAGCCGCCGAGACGTATCCGCCACGGTCGGATTGAGCGTTTCGAAAATAACTTCACGGAAAGCTTAAGTTAACGACGGCTTCACGGCGGCCGGTAACGGCGCCGTTGTTTACGAGCTTAACGGCGCGCCAGCGGGCGACGGCGACGGCGCCGTCGCCTTCGGAAGCGCTTCTACAAAATCAAAAAAGTACCGCAGTTCAACGTACGTACCCGCTTTGCCTAATAGCTTCACCAACGTCTCGACGATATCTTTCCCAGGCACCTCGCCGTACAGATCTGCTGGGTCAAAGTCGTTAGGCTCAAGCAGAAGCTCAAGCAGAAGCTCTAGCTCTATCACCGACGGCCCTCGCTCTGGGCGGTAGCCAACGACCGCCTGCGAGAAGGCAAACTTGGCGGTGGCTCTCCCAGTAAGCCCATTTTTAGCTAACGCCACGGCAACAAGCCGGTTAATCTTGCTAGGCCCGAACGTCTCGCCTAACGTTACTGTCGCGCTGACGCCGAAGTCGCCCTCGCTGGCGGGCGTTTCTAGGAAGACGGAGCGGGACGTTGAGGTATCGCTGAGCTTAGCCTGTTTAGGGCCGAGAAACGGCGCTGAGATCAGTGCCACCGCCGCCGTTACTTTCACCTCTATCTCTGCAGGAACCGTTGGCGCCCGTGCCGCCTTTGCTTTGGTGGCAAAGGCGCGCTTCTTCGAGACCGGTTCGCGGGCAGTTATCTAAGGGCGCGGCCGTGCCCGAGGCGTCGGTTGAGTATCCTCTTCCTCTTCCTCTGCATTTTCCGTTTGTAACGAGGCGGCCGCTAATCCTCCCTCCTCTTCGCTCGCAGACGATATCACTATTTCTTCGGCGGCCGGCTGACCGGGCTTTACAGCCACCGCCCGTTTTTTCGACAAAAGCCGCTTGGGTACCGGCGCCGGGCGTTTATTCTGCTTCTTTTTAACCGCGGCCGGTGCCGCCGGTGCCTGGGACGTCCCCTCCACTGTCACGCCGGTCTTGAGCTTGATCAACGTCTTCTTGGGTGTGACGGTTCAGGCACCAAGGCAGGGAGATAGGTTACGTGAGAGGAGCTCAACCACAAAACCCCACCATATTCCCCTCCGTTATGTACAATACTTCCTTCCCTCCTCACCATGGAATCTTCGTCTATAGGTGCCAATAGATCATTGCCCTCGCGCATGTTTAGGATTATCCGGCCGTGACATTGGGCGTAGGCGTGATTCTAACCTCGGGCTCATCCTCCGGGGCGGACAGCCCCGAGCTAACCTCCTCGACCTCGTTTTGAACGCCCAACGCGCTAAACTCTCCTTCGGCGTCGCTGCTGGGCGGCGCCGCCTTCCTCGTGGGCTGTCTTTGGCGACTAGAACGTCTCGCCGGCTGAGCAGGCGCCTCGGGGGTGCGGACGCGTTTCTACGGACCATCTCTGTTTTGGGCGTTAGTACTCCGTTTACGGCCCAGAAAAGACGACGGCGAGGTTAGGAATAGCTTCACCGATCAAATTCACTTTGGTACGTATGCTAGCACTCGTTGCTGTTCAAAACGTTGCAATCCGCCAGTTCAACGGACAGATTTTTGCTGTATTTTGGTGGTGGCGGCGTCCGACCCCCCTGGTCAATTTGGCCCCACTGTCAACCCGTTTTCAAGACACAGTGTTTTCAGAGTGGATCCTAGCCTGCCGCCGCACACCGCCCAGGTGGAGCCGTTTTCGGGCGGTCAAGGTCGCGCCTGGTGGTCCTAGCTTCTCCGTGTTGGTCCGTGCTTACCGCGCTGTCAGTCGGCCCCAGCCACGTGACTGTCTTAATCCAACGACGCTCGTCCTGCTCGGTGCTGTGCCAGTTGGCTTGTAGCCACCGCTCAAATCATAAAAGCCGATTTTCGAGTTGACGAACTTGGAAGCAATATTAAGTTCGTGCTCGTTGCTGTTGGGAATCCATAGGCTGAAAGATAGTGACTTGAGTGCGCCTGTCGCCTCGTCGCCTCTTTGCCGAGTTGTACGGTCTAGGCGTGTAGTCTTTCAGGTCGGGAAAGACTGTATCGTCGCTTGTTCGTCTGAACCAAGCTGGTCGATCGCCTCGTCCCGTGCTGCTGTACAGCCGCATTGGTAGTGGTAACTTGGCTGTACTCTGCCATAGATGGCCTTTGCCCTCCTGATGCCCAATCTCGACATCTTCGTTGTGTTGCCGTGTTCGATGGATGATAGGACGGGAAGTGTCATAATTAACATAACCGTACTTGTTATTAAAGTGTACTCTGCAGAAATGGACTTCATCCTCGCGCTTCTCCCATAGAAGCTCATAATGAAGCTGAATATAAGGAAGGTTGAAAAGGTGGGAGTTGCTTTGGCAATAAGCATGGGAATTTTGTGGGCGCTCCTACATGCCTCTATGTCGGCTAATGCTATATCGAATGGGGGTGTGTGCAGGCTAACAATCATGCTCGTCAGCGCTGGTACTGCTGCCATTGTGAAGGCCATACAGTTCTGCTCCATGTCAGGGGGGGATTTCACATGTAAAAAGAAAAGAAAGCCATTTAATATTTCAATTCCCTAACCGTACAACCTAAACGTGCTAATTTAAAAGCCTAGATGATCTGATGGTAATCCTGGCCGACTTATACATAGCAAAAAGACACCTGGCCGACCAGCCTACGCCGGACTGCAAAGAAAAGGTAGACCGCATCCGGGCCTTAGCCAACATATCGAGGGACAAGGCGGAAATCTTTGAGATACCCAGACATAGCGCAGAGGCCGTGGGCTGCTGGCGTACGGTGTACCAAGCGGTGGCGAAAATGCTCGTCCGACAGGGCTACGTTGGGATTCTCTCCCTCTGCCTCGAGCGAGACCCGGGCCTCCCTTCCTGGACGCCAGACTGGTCAAGGAGGTTGCCACAGCCATGGTCTGGATTATGACACTGGCCTGGTCACGAGGTGGGGTTTTCCTTCGACACAGGAGCCGGTACGTCATCGCGGGTCCACCCTGACACCCCCGATCACATTCTTGCGCTGGACGGCTACTTCCTTGACACCATCGAGAACAACGAGGACGTCGGATCGGAGTGGATGCCGAGATGGGCCACCAACATGAGCCAGCAGGACATTGTGACGCGCTTCCGCGAAGTTGACAAGTTACTCTCGCGATCTACGCGATACAGCGAGGAGGAGCACCAGGAGGCGCGGTGGAAGATACCTGTCGGCGGAAAGGAGTATCGCAGCCTCACTCGGCGTCAAAAAGCCGGTGACGCTTCGCGCCAGGCGTGGGAGCGCATCCACGGCGGGGTGTCGAAAGGTCAATCAATCGCGGCCTACAAACATCCCGATGTCGACGACTATAATGTTGCCCTCGAATCCACGCATCGCAGCCGGGTTTTCATGTCGGGCACGGGATATGTCGGGATATGTCCCTTGGAGACGCGGCCGGGGGATGTCCTGTTCGTGCCTTGCGGCGCTCATGTGCCGTATGTGATTAGACGACGCCCGGCGAGAAGAGGCACTGATGGTGCGGCTGTCGATCGGGAACTCTGGACGGTGATCGGGGAGGCATACGTTCAGTGTCATGTTTGGAGAGTTGAAACTGGGCGAGAAGGAGGGGATTCGTGTATTCTGGCTAACATAAGGGCTCGGAAGTCTGCCGCCATTGGCAGGCCCCATGGGTTCCAGAACAGTGTCTTCTCATAGAATTCCAGTTGTTCCCGCCGCTCCCTGAAGAAGAACGCCCACATCATGACTTCCTTGCAAATAAACTCGATGCTCAAGGTTAGCTTCCCCCTTTTGCTAAACAAGACCCTGAGACCTTCCATGTGGCTGTCCACCATCTCCCAGTCAATGTGCATGCTGAGTGAGGATAGGTTGCCCGCCCTCGTCCGGCCCCCCGATTCACGATGGCGTCCCCGGCCTGGGCTGCGCCATGCCGAGCTGCAGGTACGATCGGCCTGGGGAGGACTGGACGGCTCGGGCAAATTCGCGCCTTGTCGGCTTCCCAAGGCGTCGTGATCGAGATTGGGACTCGAGTTGTCGCATCGTTCACATATCGTCGTTCTTCAGCGCTCTGCGGCCGCGAGCTTCCTGGGCGTCTCCGACCTGTCGAAGCGGTGGGAGGGGCCGATGCACTCCGACGGCGGCAAAATGAAAAGCAGTGAAATGGGTTAGGTAAGCCTACCTAGCCACCCATCCGTCGGTCCCATATTTTGGCCTGTTCAGGGCCGTGAAATGGGCCTACCCCGTGCCCAAAACTGGGCCCTTGTGGGGCCCCATGGGCCACATTCCACTTGCTTACTAAAAGGTGGGCAAGGTGGGGAACTACGACTTCATGATGTCGAACACAACCACTAGCACACGATCAGCACTGGTCTCCACACACCGATAGCACTATGACCTCATCCTCCTCGCCTTTCAGAATCTTCACACAAGGGACCACCAGGCTCCAGCAAACCTCACAGCAACTCCCAAAACAACCGCCAAGATGCACATCACCGTCGCCCCCGCCTCCACCAAGGCCGGCCGGGCCACCATTGAGGCCCTCCTCGCCGACAGCGCCGGCCCGACCGTCACGGGCGTCTACCGCAACCTGTCCAGGGTGCCGGCGCAGTTCTCGCCGAACCCCAACTTCAAGGCCATGCAGGGCGACGTCCAGGACGGCGCGTCGCTGGACTTCTCCGGGGCCGACGCCGTCCTCGCCATCACGCCGCCGCAGTTCCACGAGAGCGACATCGTGGCCGACGCGCGCAAGATGTCCGAGAACATGAAGGCCGCCGCGCAGAAGGCGGGCATCAAGCGTCTGGTGCTGCTGTCGAGCGTCGGGGCAGAGCTGGAGAAAGGCACTGTAAGTCGAATCCCTCTTGGCAGAGTCAGACAGGGACGGCCGGACGATGTTCTGTACACGTGCGCAGAGAAACTCTCGTGCTCACCGGGAGGCGCTCAGGGCGAGATCCTCACCAACCACGCCGCCGAGCAGGTGTTCGAGGGCACGGCGCCCGAGGTTGTCTACGTGCGCTGCGCCTACTTCATGGAGAACTGGATGATGTCGCTCGAGACGGTCCATCAGGAGCCGCCATTTTTCTACACTACCATCACGCCGCTGGACTTCAAGGTGCCCATGGTACGTAACCCCCCTCCCCTTTTCCTCCCCTTCTCCCCCAGACCTCTACCCTTCCAACCCAAACCGCAAGCCAACCCCCCTCCCCAGATCGCCGTCAAGGACATCGGTAGCACCCTCGCCGCGCAGCTGCTCGCCACCGGCTCGGCCCCGCCGGCGAACCCGCACGTGTTCGAGCTGTGGGGGCCCGAGGACTACTCGTCGCTCGACACGCAGGCGGCCTTCGCAGCCGCCGCCGGCCGCGATGTCGAGGTCCGCCCCGTCCCCAAGGACGGCCTGGGCGACTTCTTCGTCCAGGCCGGCTTGCCGCCTAGTGTCGCCAAGGAGTGGGCCGAGATGTCGGCGTGTTTCCTGCCCGGCGGCGTCATCGAGGCGGACGTTTCGCGCACCGAGGGCGTCGTTCGCGGCAAGACGACGCTGCACGAGGCGGTCAAGGAGATGTACAACCTGCCGCCGCCGGCGTGAGACTGAGTCGAGATCCTTTTGAGGTCTATGTCGAGCACGGAGGGCTTGGGTGGTACTTTGGCGGGCAAGGTAGTGTACAGGGTAATCGAAGCAGGACTGAGGTTGGTACCAGGGTAGTGTGCACATTTGCACTTGTTTTGGTACTTTCAATGCGAACTCTCATCTCACAGCGATCCCTCGAAGTGCAGGTGTTGCGGTCCCCTTTCTCCTCCCGCTGCCTTGGGTCCACCCGCCCTGGCTGACGGGAGCGTACACCTCGACCAGCAAGGGACATGCGACGACTTGTCCGCGGGCATCACGCCTTTGCACCATCATGTGTGCGCCTCATTTTCGGTAGAGATATCATACAGCACAACCTGGTCGCTCCAGCGCCAGGCCCTCGGATGAGTACTGGTCATGCAGGTTGGGGATATCGCCGGCAAGGGAGATGGGCACGGAACTGGGCCACAGTGATGCTTGGGCGGAAGTGCGGCGCCGATTTGAGATGACAACGGAAATCCCTCCGGTGCATCCCGATGTTCGCGGTGGGGCGTCCCAGCCTGACGAGGAGCGGGTCCGTATCGACTGGGGGTGGAAGTTCGGGGTCAGGAATCCTACAGGGGGGCCGTATCCGGAGGCGGCTCTCGCCAAGAAACGTGGGTCAAATTTGTGCACGACGCACTGGTAAGTGCCCTTGATGCCCTTGGTTGGGTTTAGTTGCTAACGCTGTCTAGAATTCCGATGCTCTTGTCGCCGAATTTGCACAGCTCGTCGTGTTCACCGTGCTCAACCTGCCTACCGACTACAACAACGACGCCGTCGGCCTGTTCCTTGAGCTGGACGGATCGGCCATCGCTAGCAAAGTAAGGAGCCAGCTGGGACCTTTGGTCCGCCAGGGGGTTGCAGAAAGTCTCCATCGCCTTTCGCTTCTCCGCCCACTCGTCGCAGCAATCCGAATCCGAGGTCAACCTTTTCCTCGTCGACACCTTGCCGTAAAAGCCAGAAGAAATTTCCAACCCGACGCGTTTGACCCGAACACCACGTCCTTGGACAATCTTCGGTGGCTCGGCTCTCTCGTCGGCATCGAGGGGTCCAACCAGTTTGGAAGCCTCACCATGGACGCAATGCGCACCGCCCTCTCGCGCTCCAAGGCGTTTGCTGGTCGGGATGTCGATCGGGGGGTACGACCTCGTCAAGCGAGCGGGCGAACAGCTCCGCGTCGGGCCGTGGGAGTGGTTGCCAGTATGTGCTCGATCACGGGATGAGGGTGGCCCTGCTAACACTTCACAGGCCCTCCCTGCCGAGGTACTGGCCCGCTTGAGCGTGGCGCAGTTGGAAAGTTTCCAGGCCGAGAGCTACCGCCAATCGGTTCGTCCGGCTGTACTCGATCGGCCGGCCACCTGCGGGCAGGGTTTGTTGGAAGGGACGGAAACACCGCCGCTCGCTTCTTAGGATGCCCCCACCAAGCATTCGGGCTCCTGCTGACGGAAGAGGCAGAGGTGCACGAGGGCTGGGTAATCATTGGCAAGGAGGAATTGTGGGCCATCTCATAACTTGCCAGCTGGTCGCCGTTGCTGCCCCACCCTATCACAACGGGAACAAGAAACTGCAAACTCCGCATCGTTGGCCCACCAGGGGGGCGGCAAGCCCTGTGCTTTTGCCGCAGATCCATCATACATCGAGTTCCTTTCTTCACGGCGACTCGGCCTCTTCGGTGATAGCTGCCGGCGGCTGTCCCAGGGCCCCGGTCGGCTCCCGATCGACGTCGGATGTTGCCGGCAACACCGCCGCAGTGGGTCATCTGCGTTTGGACAGCCAGTCAATGAATGGGCTGGGCCCAGGGTCTTGCCGCGGCTGGGGCAACCCTGCCGCGAGCCGTGGCTCGCAACACGGTCGCCGGCACAGGCGCAAGCCCCACTGGGGTGAGGCTCTTTTGTCCCGAGACTCACTTTCAACGACGCTATAACAACAGCAGTTCAGTGCCTCTCGGTAGATAGCAAACAACCACTGGCGTCTACTATATGCGCGCCTTTATCGCCAGGAGGCACTTGAATGGGATTTCAGTAGATGCAACCCTTGCGCTGCTTTCTCTCAGATGGTTTGCGGTGGGCTGCGCAACCATTCGTGCCGGTGGTAAGTGTTTGCGCCAGTCCCGTGGAAGCCACTTGCAGGAAGTTACTTGCGCATCTTCCGGGATCTACCCCTTGAAGTTTGAATGTGACCATGGAGGAACGTCTGCTTGCCGGCGAGCTCTACTGGCCGCGTGGACGTCCATGGGTCGCATCTCCGACCGCCGGCGGGTTCAGACGCGATCGAGCACTCCCAGCGTGAAACCTCCGCCGCCGTGCTTTGGGTCTGACACGTGGAAGTGATCCGACACGAGCCCTGCGCTTATTAATGCGGCCAATCACGGCTCCCCTATAACTGCATCGGTAGGACATGCAGAGTGACATTTCCGCGACCACCAACCGACTCTTCCACGTCGTACATCCCCCCTACCCGAAATGATTCTAGCCTGAACCCAAGGCCCTCCTCCGGGGCTTCCAAGAACATATAGCGACGCTTGTCTCCAGCTTTTCTTCGAACCCATCGGGATGCCCGAGCAAAATGGGACCCGAGACATTCCCACTCCTCGACCATCGGGGTAGCCTCCCCGCGCCGCAGTCCTTCTTGCCATCCCGACTCTAACGTCTCTGCTTCTTTTCTCCCCTGTCTACTCTCGGGCTACTCTTGTGTGTTGCTCTCACAGGCATACAAATCTTGCTCCCTTCTTTGTTGAGAGGCATACCGGACACATACGGGGTTTTGATCCTTATCGGCGCCTCGGACATGCTGTACCTTGTCACCGACGGCCTCTGGATACTGGTTACTATAGATGTCGATAATAATTTTCACGATGGGTTATTCGGTGTCAACTTAAACGACGGAGAACGGGACTCGCTACGGAAGCGCTCTCTGGACACGGTTCTCCGAATCTCTTTGACCAAGCTTCCCGTTATTGCTGTTGTGTTGACGAGGGCGCTTTACCACTTCACCGGAATCCCTCTTGCTCTTGGCGTCGAGAGGGAGAACCTGGCTGCTAAGAGGGAGGGGCATGCCGACAGACAGATAGCAAACAGCGGTACATTCAACAGTAGGGTGGAGGGAGATCGAAATGAGGTGGATGTCAATCATTGTGCCGCAGCCGCCAGCTCAGGCATCGTGTTTAGAAGTCACAGGGAAGAACAAGTGCCGGCTCCAACCTCTCAGTTACGGTGTCATGCACCACGACCACCCCGTCTCGTATTTAGACGGCTTCAGTGAAGCAGCGGCATATGCCTGGCATGTCCGATGCAGCTCCCGGACAGCCCGATGGGTGGTGTCACACGGAGGCGCCCTTCGAGGTAGTGGGGATAGCCTCACCAAGGGTCCTGGTTCGTACGCACAGGGTCGGCATCAACCCTGTGGAGCCAAGCCTTCAAGTGGGGGCTACCAATCGGGCCAACGGCGGTGACGGGCCTCCGGCACGGACCACCTAAACCTGCCTATTTAATCCCAGCCACCCTTGGAAATCCCCTCAGCAGATTATGGCTCCTTAAGCATCTTTTGAGCCCATAAAAAGATTATTAGCTATCATTAATGAGATCACCCCTCTCAAGCCTGTATTGCACCCTTGTGACAGGTGGCGAGCCTGTCGGAACCGATCACCGCGTCCCACATCCCGACGTTCCTTCCCTCCTTCTCTCATGGCCAATGGGAACGCCAATGAACAGGCCCATCCTAGTCTCCTTCTCGGCATGCTCTTCCTCCTCTTGCCAATGCCACGACTGCACCTTCTCCCGGGAGACCGGGAAGACCCGAGAATTGATGCTCTGCGGGTCCAGCCACAACAGCCCCAAACCCAACTGGAGCATTCTCCTATGTTGGTTAAGATAGGTCACCCCCTGTCGGCCACCACCTCCCCTGTCGGCCACCCCGCTCCCATATTAAATTTACAAAATGCTACTGTTTTGCAACGCAATTATAAATCGGATAAAAATGGTAAAAGTAATAAGGATAACGTGGTTCACCACCGAGTGGATCACCCTCACCGAGTGGATCACTCCAAATCCCATACTAAACGCGGTTTTTTTTTAATTAAATAACTCGCCCAATTTATAATTAAACCTTACCAAATTTTAATACATTATATTTAAGTATGTAGTCGATTTTATAATGAATTAGTGATATTTTTATTATTACTCTTTTAGGGTTAGTTTGCAAAAATTACACAGTGTGGTGCACAGTGTTATAAACTAACCCTAAAAGA